TTCCTACTATCTTCTCTGTGGTGGTGTCTTTCACTCCTAGAAAAATTCCTTTGGTCCATTGGGCCTCGAACTTGTGGCCTCTCTTGAGGTATTCGATAGCCTCACCAAATGGTGGAATTGCTACTTTCCATTCACGTCCACGAAGTCGTGAATACGGAGTCTTTCCGTCTTGAAGTTCGGTGGATCGGAAAAACAAGTTGTAGACAGTGGATGCGTGTTCGACCAACCAAGTCAAAACAGGTGAATCGTCAGGAAGTTTCTCACCATAGTTCGACTCGATTGCGGCTCGAAGAGTCCTGGCTTGTCCTTCCAAGGTTTGAACTGCTCGTTCAATTTCTCCCTTGGATTCTTTGACTCCTTTCGGGCTCTTCTCGATGATCAGGGTTCCTTCAAACCCGTTCTTTACTGCCTCAACAACAGAGGTGAGAGCAGGTTCAGGATCATGTCGAATGATCAGTTTGGAGTATCCTAGTTTCTTGATGTCGTTCAAAAGTACTTTGGATCCATATGGACCTTTTCACACCTTTGTAGGGCAACACATGAGCAAAAAGATGCTTCGTCCATCGATCTCTGACAACAAGAATTGGTGCATGGGTCTTCTCGTCCAAAACTACATCATCAGTTCGTGAATTCATGAAACAGTAGTCTACAGTCACTACTGGGGTTGTCTCATCGGTGTGGTCTATCTTCCTGTGGGGGTTTGCCTTAGCTTTTCCCCTTACACAGGCTTCACACCAAGACCTAAAAGGGAAGTGTGAAACAGCATGCTCTTCAAACTCTTTTCGCGTCGGGCGAATGGGAGCATGGATTTTGAGCTCAGGCGGCACTTCGTCGCCTGGCTCGGCCTCTTCGGCCTGCTCGTCCACTACCGGGCTTACCCATTGCGGTGCCGGACGAAAGGGTGGAATGCAAGCGGCACAGAACAGACGCCGTTGCTGAACGAGATCGGAATCTTAGTTCCGTCTCGGGAGATCTGCCCACCAGATCCGTGCATCTGAATGCACCAGCCCTTGCTCATAAGGGCCCCCGCGGAGAGCAGCGGTTTTGCAACCGCCATCACCCGGAAACAACAACGTCCATTGAGGGAGTTCTGGCCGATGCCGATGGTCACCACGGGCAGCATCTTGAGTGGCCATGTTGACGGCTCGAGTCAACTGCACTTTCTTCTGCTTGCCCTTTCCTTGGCCCTTCTCGGAGGCAGCCGGAGCCGAAGCGGCTCGGCTTTTGCCCGGGGATCGTGACCGGGACTTCAGCCGAAGCGTCTGCCTTGGCGCTTCGCTGGATTCCTCTGGTTTGGATCCTGGTCCACGGAATCGCTCTAGGTGCTCTTCAGTCGAGCTCTTGAACCAGGCCATGCGCTCCTCCTTGGTCTTGCCCTTCTTCTCAGGAGGTGGAGGTGTCTTGGCAATGCGCCTTTGTTTTGGCGTCTTTGGGCCAACCTCATCTTCCTCCTCCTGTTCTTCCATCATCTGCTGCATATGGGCTGTCATGTAGAAAGGAGGTTCGTTCTTGACGGTCTCAAGCTTTGGATCTTTCATCTTCAAATGCTTTGCCACATCTTCGGGCTTCAGATCCATGTCGGCATCTTTCACATGCTTTGGCGCATCTTTTGAAGTTGGGCTGCCTTGCTGTCCCTTGGCAGTTTTGATGCGCTTTCCCATCTCTTTCTGCTTGATCGTCCATTCCTTTGCCCACTGGTTGAGGACTTTTGGCGGGCAACAATTCAAAGCCATGTGGTGGTTCCATAGGCCGGTGTCATTGTCATACCTCAGGGCCTTGTTGCACGCACGGCAGACCATGTTCTTGCTGCCATCTCTGTTCTTGTGGGTGCATTTGGCTACCCATTCATCATAGCTGAGGATGCGCTCTTGGAACATGTGATCGAGCCATGGCATAATGTCTTTCTCTTTTTCTTCCTCTTGTCCATCTGACTCATCGTCAGCTGGCTCAGTGCCATTCTCATCCTCTTCAACTTCACCTTCAAATTCTTCTTCTTCTTCGAGTCCCTCGATCTCAATTACATCAAGGGGATTGATGTTCTCCATGACTGGAGCTGCGAAGGATGGTGCGCTTGTTGCTCCTTCGCCTTGGCTTTCGACGCGCTTCATCACAACATAGTCCTCTGGGTTGAACCCAGCTGCAGTGAGCGCCTTGTCGATGACACTGCGGGCTGGATGGCTAGTAGCCGTCCATGTCTGGCTTTCCCGCTTCATCTCTGCCAACTCTTGAGTGGAGAGATCCTCGATCTTGGGCTCCTTCTCTTTTGGTTTTTCCGGCTTCTTTGCCTTTCCTGGCTTCTTGTAGCCACGATGCCTCTGGGCCTTTTCTCGACCTCGAGGCTGAGGGGCTTCATCAAACTTTCCCTCATCATCTTCATCATCCCAAGCTTGAAGTCGACCAGTACCCTTGGCACGAGCGATCTCATAGTAATCGAGCTCCTCAGGGTAGTTGGCCTCATAGTCGCGCCAGGATTCGAAACGATCCTGGGCCTTCTCAACGCGATGCTGCTCGGCGCGCTGACGGCTCTTCTCTTTCTTCTTGTCCAATCTCGGGTCCATACCTGATGCCAAATCAGCTGAGAGCCTTGGCGACTCCGCCGGAACCGAAGCGGCTCGGCGAGGAGTTGGCCTCTTCAGCAAGATCTTGGCTTCTCTCTCCTTTTCTTTATACTGCTCTTTCAACCTCTTCATCTCGGCCTGTTGTTCCAAGATGGCATCATTGGCTGCTTTGCCTTTGGCTTCGGCCTCTTCGATGGCCTTCTGGATTGTCTCAGACTTCCTCTCATACAGCTCGCGATTGGACTGCATGGTCTCTTGGATTGCTTGGTTCATGACTGCAATCCCAGCAGCTGCAATTCCAGGACGACCTTTTCCAGCTCCTGGCTTCTTTGGCATAGCCTTGACTTCAGTCTCAGCTTTTGCCTTGGCTGCTCCACGAGAAATTGCGGCAGGTGCTGCTTTCTCCATCTCGAAGGCAAAGAGGGTGGCGATGTCAGCTGAATACTCAGGCTCGGGTTGATGCTCTTGAGCCATAGAGGTTTCAGATTCCTCAACTGAAGCTACCTTCTTACTTTTACCCTTGCCTTTACCTTTAGAGTCTTTGCCTTTGCCACCTTTGCCTTTACCCTTGGAATTTTGGTTGTACCAACTACTCTTGCTCCAATCATTCTTATACCAATCGTTCTTGTTCCATGAATTGTTCCATGATGAGGGATTGGACCACGAAGAACCTTTTCCCTTCTGTTTACCTTTGTCGTTTCCCTTGCCTCCATCTTGACTCTTTCCTTTTCCTTTGCCGCCTTTTGAGCCACCTTTGCCTTTTCCTTTGGCTTTAGCCAGACGTGCAAGTGAAGCTTGCATCTGGCTGGCAGCTGCGGCTAGAGCGTCAACATCCATTGGTGCTGATCCAGTCTTTGCTTCTTTTCGGCTCTCGATGTTCTCGAGGTAGGCCAAAATCTCTGACTTCATGATGGCATAGTCAGTGAGTCTCGAACTCTGGAGGTCAAGGTGATCTTGAAGTTTGGCTGGACACATCTGCTGAAGACAACTTCTTGCGATGTCATCATCAAGAACTTTCTTCTTCCGCTCTTCATACTTTCGCCTGATGTTTTCCCAGGCTTCTATGCTCTCTCTGAGCTTGTCCAATGCACACTGTTGTGGGTGCAGGACCTTCTTCAGAAAAGCTGAGTTTGCTTGTGGGTTCTGTGGATCATACTTGATGATCAATCGTCTCAATGCCTCTAGGCCAAAGTGCTGACCTCTGGAGGTATTCTTGACAATCTCGAGGGCTTCTCCCTCACATAGTGAGATCAGAGCCTGTCGGGCCTGAGCTGAAACAAGCTCGGCTCCTTCAGGATAATCATCTTCCAGGGATGTCTCATTGATCTCTGTATCTTGATGCTCTTCGAGGAGCTGAATGCACTTTCCTGCATTCTTGTGACTTGTCTCAATCCAAGTCTTGAATTTGAAGTACCATGAATCCCAGGTACCTGTGTGTCCACTGAACTTGTCAGGCTTTGGAATGCCTTTCAACTCGGATCTGTCTTTTACTTCCACGCTAGTGGCTATGTTCCTTGTGATTGCCGTTTGTTGTGTATAAGCTTCTGCCATTGCTCGTTGCAATTGGCTCTGCCCCTGCGCTAGGGCTTGCATCATCTGTGCAAATTGTTGTGCCATGTCTGTGGCTTGTGGTGCCTGTGTTCCTGGCTGTTGCGCCACGTTGACTTGCCAGCCAGGGATTAAAACAATCCGGCTTTCCTGCAAGTGATGCTTGTTTTGTGGATCTCCGGTGCCAGAGCCGATGCGGCTCGGCAACCTTCGATCCGCAGACGGTAGCCGGGTCTTAGAACCGCGACTCCGCTACCATGAACGAAGAATTTAGGCTCTTAAACTCCGTGACCCCAAATCACTGTCCCAAAGGTTGTAATAAAAGCTTAAGCACACTTTTAGCTCCACTCCAAGCGTAACTCTGGTAGCGAAATGAACACAAAAGTAAACCGCAAACGATTGCAGTGAAACATACATCTATACAAGCTATGTTATATATATGTAATTGGTGCTACATCTAATCAGATATCCTATTCCTTAAATATTATTTATTATTTCAAATTTATAAATAATATATATATATAATATAGATAATAAATCAAAATAATATTTTTTTTGCCTTATAATACATAATATATATATAATATATTATTAGAATATATATTAATATTAATTATTTAAAAATTAATTAAATATTAATATTATAATATATTAATAATAATATAATAATATATCATAATATAAAAATAACAATTTATAGATTAATATATATATAAAATATATTATCTATATTTTATAAAATAACAAAATAAACAAGATATAATTCATATATATTTCGATTAATTAATCATTCATTCGATATTTTAATACATTAAATTATTCGATATCTAATATTATATGTTCGATATGTCGGCCATAATTTGCCGAATGATTACCTTTATGTTATATTTAATGTTACAATATTTGATTTGTTTTAAATGAAAGTTGGGGAGCATCTTTCAAAGAATGTATGGCTTTGCCATCAAAGTTGGTTTCCAAAGCATTCCCCTCTTCGACAATGCAAGTAACGAGTCCCGTGTTCCCAGAACGAGCGGTTCGACCTGCACAATGCACAAACGCCGTCGCATCTGCTGGAACATCATAGAGAATCACATGGCGAAGAAATGGAAAGTCCAAACCTCGAACAGACATATCAGTGGCAACCAAGATCTGAGTAGCGCCATCCCGAAATGATTGAATTATATCTGCCACTTCTGAAAGACTCAACATTTTCGTAGATTCTTCATGCAAACTCGAAGTTTTCCACCGTTCAAGGAGATGCGCTTGAAGCTCAATGGCCTTTGCAGAGGTTGCACAGAATATGATTGTTGCACCATCAGTATCTGGGTCTTCCTTTTCTGCTTCCGACAGAATCCAAAGTAGCTTCGATTTCTTGGAACTTTCGTCGCCGCGAAAATAGTGGAAGCATTGCCTTAGAGTTGGAACAAGAACTCCGGTATGACCCACTTGTTGGATGTGGGGGAATCTACTCAGAAGTTCCTTCTCCCGTTGCTCCGTCAGGTGAGCCATGGTCAAAAACAGCTGTGCAGAGTGCATTCCTTCAAGCAAGCTGTTGGTGATGCGCTGTCGATTTTGGAAGTCAGCACCGTTTGCAGAACCAGCGATGCTGCTGCCTTCGCACAAAAGAAGATCGGCTTCATCAATAGCCAATATCTGGGCATCACAAGTCTCAAACTGCTTGATGACGATATCCGGGGTTCCCACAATGAGACACATGCCATTGTTAACTCTGTCTGCATTCTCTCTGGCGGACTGCAAATGATTTACGTATTTCAACTGAATGCGTGAGCGGTGCATCTGTTTGCAGCTGGAAAGAAGATGCTCGGCTACTTGAGCCACCTGTTGCGCAAGTTGCTCCGTTGGTGCGAGGATGACAGCTAGGACATTGCTCTGTTGCCGACCTTCGAGAAAGTCTTCTTTGCCCAATTTGCCCTTGCTTCTTCCGCCTTTCAGACCCTTTCTGCCTGCACCTTTTCCTTTCTGTTCAGCCTGTCGTTGACTTGACTCCAAAAGCCTGTTGAGAATTGGCAAAAGGAAAGTCAGCGTTTTGCCAGAACCAGTTTGCGCACAAACCAGCACATCACGGCCGCTTAGGCCTAGCGGGATCGCTCTTGACTGTATGCTGTTGGGCGCCAAAATGCCAATGTCACGGAGGCCACGCACCAAGTCTGCATGCACGAGTTGCTCAAAGGACGAAATGGAAGGCATCGTGTGAGGATACGTGACCGATGTGACTCTTCTTCGACCATCAGGATACCTAATTTTTCCTCATGTTCATCTCGACCATCCTGACTCACAAATTTCACACAGAATTGCGTTGATCAGGAGAAAACAGCCAAAAAAGCTATACAATGTTGTATAACTACCAGTCCAAAAGGCTCTCAGCCAAAATCGGGCCACATGTGTCGTTCTGAGTGCATTAAGCTTGACCTGTCAGTTGGGTTGAAATAAGACTCATGCAGTTTGGACTGCAACACCAGCCGCTGACATCGAGACATTGCAGCTTTTTGCCCCTCAAGTTCCCCGACAGAAATGACTCCTCCAAGCTGCTTAAGCAGCGAACATGCGCTCCAGCCAACGAAGGCCATGAATGAATGCACGGGAAGCGAATCTCTTCCCGTGCTGTCCCGTGCTTCAGCACAAATTATTGGGTAGACAAAACAGGAGACTTTAGTTGAAGAATTCTGCCGATACTACTCGTTTAAACCTTTAAATGGAATCATCAAGCAAAACTTAAGCACCCAATTCTGCTCCTCTTCTGTCTGAAAAGTATCAATGCATGTGTACATATTTGTTGCGCTCAGGACCTTCAAACCACCAAAGGCATCCGAGCTGTCGGAATTTTAGACTCAGCCTTGTCCTTTGCAAGCAATCTTGAAGAATGCTGCAGAAACATAGACACACAACCCAAGAGAAGAGAGTTTTAAATTGTAGCTGTCCTTGGCTGGCCGGGCAGGATACCTGGATCAATCCTGCAATCCAGACCAACACTGCTGATGTGAGTTTTGACAAAGCTTGCACCAATCACTGACTTGTTTGCAAATGTAGCTCCACCATGTTCCACCAAAGAGTCTGTCTCCGTTAAAGCAAAGCATTCAGAATCCTTTTCAGGTTGGTTCAAAAGTCTTAGGTTGTTGTATCCGCTAAGTCCTGGACATGAATCTGCAGCCCTTCGCCATCCGACCGAAGCTTTTGTCCTGGTGAGGCAATGGTAGACATCAGCAATGCCTCACATGACATGATCAGGGAGCAAGGCCTCGACGGAGGCTCACCTGAGCGGCATAGGATGGCAGTTGCTCATATGGAACGCTGCGCGCATCACGTTCGAAGCAATCATGTCAGAGAATCCACAAGACATGTAGCAATCTCGAGCTAAGTTTCCAGCAGAGGCCAAAATGGTACAAAGAGAAACGGCCACAAGTACAAATGTCCCCCAGCGCAGCCTGACTTGAAGCAGTCCAAACAGAAAAGTCACCATATTTTGCAATGTCCAAAAAGGAAGCTGGTAGACAGCACCTGTCAGCTTCGCGCACCACTTGCTGCCGTTCCTCTTGCACTTTGAGCAACTTCTCGGAAAGCTTCTCCTAAGCACTTGACTGAACCAGGACGCAGCAAAGAGAGAACAATGCGGTCTCACAGGTCTAAGCTTGCAGCCACCTCTTTTTGTAAGTGCCTTGACTCCAGCTCTTCAGTCGTTTCTAACTGTTACAGTACCAATTTTCAGATTGATTCCTTCAGCTTCCAGCGCAGCTGCCCTCTTATGTTCCTTCTCTTTCTGCATCGACCTCTCACAGCAGCCTAGGAAAATCCAAGGGGCGAGCACACCCGAGACGACAAAACAATCCCAAAATGTTGCGCATCCCTTGTTACTAGTACCTTCTTGCTACTAGTAGCAATGGCCTCCAACCTACTTGCGATGGCCTCCACCTAATAGCGTGGTTAAAACAACTCCTGATTTCGTCCTCTCTGAGGAAACAGCGCGAAAGCTCCTTGGATGATGCATCCAACGTCACTTTGCTTGAATCGTGTGAAAAGAAAGAGGGGAATGTTGGAAGCTCCTTGATCTCTCGGTCATTCTTGTCGCATTGTCTCTGCCATTCTTCAAGTTCATTCCTTGCAAGAAAGCAAAGCAGCTAATCATAGCTGCTAGCTAATCTCAAGGCGGGTCACACAGTGTCGCAAGCTCCGTTGCTTTATCGTGAAAAGCACACCAAACCCAGGCAAGCGACAGAACTCTTTTAGAGTCTTTCTGGACTTGGCAAATGGCCTGGCACATGATGCATCAGGATTCATGATGCAATATGATGCGCATGTCACGTCCGCAATCTGCAAGCTCTGGTCTTTGCTTGCCCGTCCTCTTGGCGCTCAGACAGCAAACCTTGCAAGCGTTCCATCTCGGCCTGGGAAAATGAGAACCGTCTTATTCCAAGAAAGCGCAAATTCAGTTGTGTCCCTAAAACGGTGTGCCTCATGGTCTTCAATGGCTTTCTGGAGCTTCTGGTCACCTGGACGTGGCTAGTCGATTTGGTTGTCACCCAACACAAACACCGTGCCGGTCTTGCCTTTTCCGACCTATGCTTATTGACACTACATGCCCGGCACCAGACTTAGTTCCCGTGTTTCTTCACACTAGAGTTAGAATGAGTGCCTTCCTCTTGGAAGATGTTTTGCGCTTCTTGGGAGCACGGGGCCGCAATTGTATCCGTGCTCCCAGAAAGCTACGCTAAATATGCCAGAGTAGCTTTGCTTTCAGCTCACGGTTTGCTAATTGATCACATACAACTGATGCACACCACGGAGACAAACCTATCAGAGGTCCTTCGACACATCCAACCCGCATTCTGAAGCTTTTCAAAGTGCCAGGAGTGCTCTCAGCAACCTGCCGCCACAGCCCTTCTTGGCGATCCTCATGGTACCAGGCAACGTGGGAGTTCGAGTCATTAAAATTACCTAAAAAGACTTTGCACTTCAGCTCTAGCTCTCCACTACAGTTCTGTCTAGTGACTAGGTGTTTGTTGTTTTTGGCTGACCACCTCCCCTCCCTACTTAATTAAGTAAGGGAGTAAGCTACTACTTAAGCTTCTAGGCAGCACGCAGGATAGCTTAGGCTTCTTCAAGGAGAAGCGCTCGCACTTATGATTTGGTTCCTAGATTTTTAGGGAAACTTGACTTCTAAGCAGTCGACGGACAATCAATCTGAACGTCCAGCATAAAACCCAAAAACTCTACATTGTAATCATGCATTTCACAAGGGGCAAGGCAGGCAGGGCAACTGATCTCCTACATTTACCTAGAGCTCAACTCAGGCCATGACCATTGAAAGCTTTGCTTCCTTTTCAGCAGTGGCTCGAGCCTTCTGAAGCTTCTGTATCTCATTCTCCAAATCTGCAAGGTGGAAGCAGCAAAGCCCAAACAAACTGCACAGGCCGTGCAACTGTGAAGTGAAGTGGAGCTTTTGTAAAGATGTACAGTAGTGAGCTGTGCAAGTGAGTTGTCACAGCTGTACTGTTGTGCAAGGTGTAAACAAAGAAAAACTCAGAATATCTCAGAATCAAACAGTCCCTTACCTGCCGTCTCATTGGCAAGATCACTCAGACTGGCTTTCTTCGGGTCGCCTTTGGAATGCAAATTGTGCACGAGTCAATAGGACTCATTAGAACAAGCAATGACGATGAAGAGCGCAAAGGATTCTGAAGGATCCAAAACATCAAAACATGTCAAGCTACATGCTACGATGGTATCTACACATATTGTCCAAGCCGCTTGATCCACTAAGTCCATCCTGACAATGACTGAATTCTTTTTCATTGGCATCTTTCAGGACAGCTAAGGAGAAAAACAGCACCGTCCTGGTGGTCCCCACTGCCTTTTGCTGAAGCACCTCGGTGCCGCATGAGCCCGCTCTTCATAGGTTGGAGGCCATCGCTGGTAACGTCAGTTCTGAGACTTCACACACGCGTCTTCTCGCTTCTCCTCGCTTTCTCTCAGCTGTGCGACCTCTGCCGCACCAAGATTGCAAAGATTTCAACCTTCAATCTTGGAATTGTAAATGTCACTTCTCGAAATGCTTAGTCCAAAATACATCCTCACAGAGTGGGCCCTCGTGTTTGGCCATCCTTAATCCTTAAAATGTCTTCATCTCTGGGGCAGCGAGCCAAGCGTTTCCGCGTCGCTTCCAGGCGTGCATTCCGCTGTGAGAGGCTCCGCAGTTCCCCACGAAGATGCGCAGTCTGAGAGTTAGGACGACGTTTTCAAAGTGAATTATTCAACAATTTTGAAGTCTGTGTTTGTTTTCCGTGGCAAGAGGTAGCTAAGGCCAAAAAACAAAAGTCGTGTCGTTATGTTTGCTTTTTTGTGTTAATCTTTTTGAAACAAAAAGAAACACTTGACACAATTCCTGGCTGCCAATCACACACTCTTGGTTTTTCAGGCGACCACTTTGGGATCTTCCTCACGGCGGGCTTCCATGATCTGGCGTTGCACCTCACAACACAGTTGGAACACAGAGAATGGAGACACTTAAGCAAAGTCTCTAGAACAACAGAAGAAGATATATACAAGTAAAAAGTACACCTTATTTGCTGTCTCGCAATCCACTCAACCCGCGCACAAACAGACAGTCCTGTGACAAAGTCGTACATGTGACTGTTTCAGCTTGTTCAGGCAGCATACAGTTTTGTCTCGGAAGCTGCTGTGGGCAGCAACCATTCACAAATCACTCTTGCAAGTCGCATGTTCAGCTTTGTGCAGGGGAGATTTGCGCGCGAGACTTAGTGACTTAGTGGATTAAAAAGTTTGGGAACTTGGAACCGGAGGACTGGAGCGCTTTGTAGGCTTAGAAGCACATGCAACAGCAACTCACCAAACATCACTCCGTCCTCCTGCTGTCCGAGATCACATGTGTCGGCCTGTCTAGAGGAAGGTAATGTTGGGCTCGCTGCCATATCGTTATCGTTTTCGTGCAAAACGCGGCAAAGAGTGTTTGGTCCATACTGAACCCTTTCCATCTTCATTGTTTTGCACTGAGCGTGCTTCTGGCAACACGGACATGCGAAGACGTGGGGGGTTGCTGGATTGCAAGCATGTAGGAAAAGTATTAAAGGGAATGCAGGTGCATAGTTCCAAAGCAACACGCCACAAGTAGAGAAACACACAAACAAATGAAAAGTATGGAAAAGCAATCAAGGGAGTTCGCAGGCACAGGACAAGAGGAAAGCCAGACAAGCGAGCGAGGAGGTAGAAGGGAGAAACAGTTTGCCGAGACAGGCCCAGCAACGCCCAAAATCGCTGGCTTCGACGTGGTAGTCCTTCTTCAAAAATCTTCCCAAAGGGCTCCTCCTTTGCTTTTTTGCACATCTAAAGGTCCCTGCATCATTAAACAATTATCCAGCCGATACCTTGACCGGGAATTCCATGACATGGTAAAGGACATCGTTCCATCAAACTGTTTCCCGTCGTT